AGATCAGGGCTGTGCAACCAAATGAAACCTCCGTGACAAGCCTATGGGGAAAGGGAACAGAAAGCCTAGAGACCTCTCCTCTTACTGTAGGATTCTCACTTTTCTGCATCCAGGAGATGGAATAAAATGAAGCTGTGGGTACATGTGCCTACATTTGCTCCTGTGGACCAAAAAAAAAAAAAAAAAAAAGCTTTGTATGCTAGAATGCTTGCACGATGAAATAAGCCAGATGGAAGAAATGATAGCAAAAGGAGTTGCCTTTCAGCAACCGCAGCTGCTTACAGCTGTATGAGTTCCCGTAACTGTTTGGCCATTTTGTTTCCTGGCTAAACTGATGACATTCTAAAGCACGATGTTTTTTTGACAACTTGGAAATCAGGTTTTATTTTCTCTCTCATAGAGCCTCTTAATACCATTCTTAATAAGGAAGAAAAATGTCGAATGCTTTCTCTGATAGATGGAAAACTCCTTTAGGATTTGGTTTACAGATTCCAAGTGGCAAAAGCCCAGGAACATGAAAACTGTGTGTGCTCAAGCCAAGAGGGTCACAGAATTGATAAATAACACCCAGCCCTGGGCACCCACTGAAGGATTCTGCAAGGTTTTCATTTTTTGCTTTGCAGTTAACACTGCCTCAGAACTGACAAATCATTTGTCTATTACATCACCCCTTCCCCTTCCACCTCCATCCCAGTAAACTCATGATGGAATCTTAGGTACTAGGGGAAGAGTCCCCAAGGAAGCTATTTTTTGAGCAATGATTCTTGAGTAGGTGGCTCCAACTCATGCCTTTCCTCACAGGCTGCCTCACGTGGGTTTGTGTTTAAAAACAGACTCAAAAACTTTCTTTCTCTGTGTATTGATTCTGAGTTACTCAAGGGAATTGTATTCCATTCATTTTTGTTCAGTGGGGTTCCTTGCTGTATACTTGACACAGAAATATTTATTGAATGAACAAAAGAAATCTGTTCTTCACTTCCTGAGAGAAGTACTCCTCATGAATTAGGCTTTGCAATTTCCAGCCTTGGAAAGGTCATCTCTAATTGTCAGAGAGAGAAAGAGGGGAGGCCATAGAATTTGGAAACAGATCTTGTCCATTGATTTATCCTTGTATGCAACAAATACAATGACGTTTCCAAAAAGATCATAGACAGTGGAAGTACAAGGCAAGTTAATTTTAATGCAAACATTTTGAAATGCATGTATCAGTGTTTTTTTGCTTTTGTTTTTGGGTTTTTTGGTTTTTTTTTTTTTTTTTTTTTTGGTGATGTGCATTTTCCACAAATCTCTTGAAAATCCTTCTAACTGCCAAGCTTTCTGCTAGGTACTAGTATATGGTGGTGAATACAACACCTATGGTTCTTGTCTTTGTGGATTTCACAGTCTACTAAGCAGACAGAAATGAAGTAAAAATAACAAAATGATAACAAAATGATAAGCCTTGCAAGTGAATACTCAGTTTTGGATGTTAATGGAGTGGCCAGAGAATGTGTGCCATCTGAGCTGGAACAGTCAAGGGCACTACGAGCTTCATTCCTTAAGATAACAAAGGCAAGGCAGGTGGGCCAGCAGAGACAGAAGTGAAGGCTGCAGAGGCTGAGGCAAGGTACTAGGGTTCTGTCCTGAATCAAACACCTTCTTTAGGAAAAGAAAACATTGAACTCAAGAATACTGAATAAGAAACCTGAATAGAACAAGTCTTGACAGGTGTTGAGTGATTAATGAATGTTAACCATTTTTGTAAATAAAGTATCCAGCTGAACTGGCAAGTCTTGGTCGTAACAATGGGTCAGAGTAACCTGAGCATTGAAAAGATACTCATTTACCTGATAAACAGAGTTGATTTAGCAAGTTTTCCATCATCAGCCAAATTCCAGACAAAACCAGTCAAATTCCACTTAGCGTGATTTTGATTGATCCTCTGATACTCAATATTTTTGGTTTCAAAAAATAAATGGGCAGCATAGAGCACTGTATGGTCAGTACCCTAATTTTAAAAATCAATGAGGTGGATCATTGTCATCTGCTCACATAAGCTGTCTAGCTTTTGATCACAGGTGGCCATTGCAGAAATGAAAGTTCCAGATAATCAAACACTTATCCCACATGCTTTCATGATTTTAGTGATATGATTTGTTGCTATGAGACAAAAACATGCTGTGCAGAAAATAATCTGTTAGAAATCATATGACCTTGATTCAAAGGCTTTTGATTAACAGCCCTAACATCCGCTTTTTGGAAAAGAAACAAACCCTATGATTAGAGCCTGGTAGTCCTTTTTAAAGCAAATAAAATATTATTAGCTACTCATTAATGCATATGGAAAGTAAAATGGATCCAAACACTGAAAACTTCATTTGAATTACTTTCAGGCCACTCTTAACCTGCTGCAAAAGCTTTCACATTCCCTGACAATGTTTTTCCTCTTTTACCATGTTTTTTTTTTTCCTCTGATTTCTGTAGGGAGACACTAGTAGCACACCTTCCTGCATCCTACCATGGACATGAATGATGTGTAGACATCTCAGGAGATCCAGGTCCTGGCCACCACTTCCTGCAGTTCTAAGTGGCTTCCTTTCTCCTGGGTGTACAGCTGACTTTATGACCATCTCTAGTCTTTATTCCTTCATCTATGGTACACCCAATTTGTGGGCCCCATGCTTGGAGACCTGATGGGGAATGGACATAGTCCCTGCTTCCACAGAGTCTAGTGGGGAAGGCCAGCAAGAAGTTGGCAGAGAAGAATCATGCTTACTTACACAAACACATGAGTGATGAAGAAGATAGGGAATTGGAGTAGTTAGTTGGATGAAGCAGGTGGATGGGTGAGTGTCTTTAAACAGGTCATGTTTGGGCTGAGTTTACAACCATCTAGGATGGAAGCATTCTAAGAAGAAAGTACGGTGAATTCAGGGGTCCAGAGATGGAAGCAAGCTGGGCTCAAGATGAAGCTGAGATTGGTAAGCCAGGGAAAGCATAGGAGACAGGATCAAGACAGGTGTGATCATGCGAGGCAGGTCCTGTGTGCTCTCTGAAGTTTAAGGGAAACATTATGAAAAATGGATGCATGGATTTCAAACTTGTTTGCAACAAAATAAACGTATCTCTTCATTGCTCTTTCCCATAAACTGTTGAAGCAATCCTCAGATATACAACCGGATTTGTCCGTGGTCCGCTTGTGCTTGGCTCCTCTGATGACTGCAGTGTCTTTGTCCTTCCTACCTAGAACAGCAGAACTTACCTGATGCCCTGAAATGCCAGTCAGTGCTCTGGACCTTTTGGATTATCCAGCCAGCCCCCAGCTTGTCCCAGACCAGAGGGGTCCCTGTGGGCCTGTTTCCTAAGTCTTGGCCTCCTTTGTTAGTTAGATCCTGGGCCAAGCCCAGCAGAAGCTTTTCTCCCCCTCTTGCCTTCCTTAGACCCCTGACTGCTGTCATGCCCAATTGAAGCAATAACAGTACAAGGCTCCTGGGTCACAACTAGGACACAGCCTGTGTTGGAGTGGCATGCAGACTCACTAGAGGAAGCATGGCAGCTGGTGTCATGGTCAAATTGGACAATAGATGAACTGGCTTAGGCACACGGCCAGGGTCACTCAACCAAATTTCCTGAACCCGGACAATGGCGTACCTGGAGACAGCCACACCGAACATACTGATTATTAGTCATCAGTTCTAAACTAGAGGCCAGTATACCCTTGGACAACCACCTCCCCCCCCCCCCCCCCCCCGTCCTTGAAAACTGATAGCTGCTAACTGCTTCCTCAATCAAGATTAAAATTCTTGGCTTCATTCTCACCCTCCCCCCACCGACCTTAGTGGATGATTCCTTGCTTGCTTCCTTGCCAACTTTTTTTGCTGTACATCTTCGCACGCCAACTTGCTCCTGACTTTTAATTGCTTTTACGTGACAGGCCAACTTGACTATCATTTTTCCAATCAACAGTCTATGGCCATACCACCCTGACAAAGTCCAATCTCGTCCAATCAACAAAAAGGCTGGGAACAGTGAATTTGTTTTGAAATGATCAGGTGTCTTTTGATTCTACCTAGCCAGGGGTCCTCCTGCTTTTCCCGGGCAGGGGTGGCAGTGGCTTTGCGGGACTGCCTGTTTGGCTCTGTTCAGACCCTTGCTATTTCACATTCTGGTCCCCTTGGGGTTGGGCAGTGCTCTCAGTGCTGGAGCAGTGTCTCTGGCCCATTGCTGGGTTCCCAGCATTTGTCTTCTGGCATGAGTTCAGTCCTCTTCTCTCATTTAGTCAGGGAAGCTGACTTTGTTCCCGAGGCCTGCCTGGGACCCATTTGTTCTCATGTTACACTTTCACGGCATCGCTGCCAGCCCTGGCTTCGCTCCAACTCTGCCCTCTTCAAACCTCCCTGATCCCAAGTGCATGTGACCTTTAGCAAAAGAGGACCAGGGGAGATCGAAGGCATTGCCAGCTCTTGGCTCCTTCCCACAGGGACGAGCCAAGTTTCCATCTATTTATTTCCTTTTAAGAAGAAATGGTGTGTGTGTGCTTGTGAGAGAGAGAGAGAATGTGTGAACACATCCCCTTGAGGGAGGAAAGGAGCAAGTGGTCATTCTCCATGTATCATGAGGATAATTTCTCAGCCTCAGGTTCTAGCCACTTGGAGAATTACAGTAGGAGTGGTGGTGTGAGCATGGTTCTTCGTTGTTGGACTCTTTCTAAGCCTCTTATTAAAATAAGAGCATGGGTAGATATTTTTAAAAGTTCTTTGAGTGAGTGTTCCAATTAGAATACCAAACTCGTGATTTCACATATGTTTTTATTTAGGAAGAAAAAAATATATAGTAAGTGGATTTCATGAAAACTCTCAAGGATTAGTACAAAAATCTGGCAAGTATCACAGAGGTGGTACAAGAAATCTGGGCCCCTGAGCTGATAACAAAGACAAAAACGTGCCCCAAGCTTGCCTCTCCTTCTGTGTGTGGAAGCCAGAGGCAATCTGTCTTCTGCTCTCTTTGTTGTCTCCCTACAGATGGCCATGACTGGCCTCCAGCAGTCTACCAGCAAGCAATCCAGCCAGCTCTACCTGGACAGCCCCGGCTTGGAGCCAGTGGGAGAGGCCCATACCCTGTGCACAGGGTTGTTCCGAATTATCCCAGCCCCTGGGACCAAGAAGAGAGACCTGCACAAAGGAACTGCTCCCTCCCTGGGCCTCCATGCTATCAGTACGTACTACAGGGCCGCCCTTTACTTTAGATATCTGTAATGTGAAAAACAAGTTGTGTATGCAACCAAGATGGCCTGAAGTTCTCTGCAGGTCTGCTACAGAACATCCAATCGAGGGTTTTTCAGATCAAATGGACACAGGCACTGGTTGGCATAAAAAAGCCATTAATGACCAGTTAAAATTCTTTTGAAGGAAAATCCCTTAGTTATACTTTCTTTTGCCTTCAGACCTGAACTTTGAGCCCATGAATTAGATTTTTCTTTTGGCCATCAATGACAACGATTCTTTGCAAGTTCTGTGTAGTTCTACCTTCTGTTGCTTCAACTTACTTCTGACTTCAAAATTTGGAATTCAATTAATTCTCGGTGGAAATTTAAAATAGCCTATGATGTTCTTTAGTAATGAAAGCATTCCTACACATTGAAAGCCATTGTTAAGTCTCTCCTACGCTGTTCGTGTAGAAAAACAATTCTGATTCTTCATGACTTTATTTGCCTAACATTGTATGAATGCCATTTGTCATTGCTATTACACAATATCTGAAGCTACATACATTGTAAAGACAAGATGTTTACAAGATGACTACATAAAGTTTGCGGGGAGTGGGCATTTAGTTTAGAGAGTTAAGATCCAGGTATCCTACATTAGAATCCCTAGGTTCAATAGCTGTCTGTGGCTCCTACTTTCTTTCATGTTCCTACCTCAATAGGCCCTGAGAGGCAGCAGAGATGGCTCAAATAATTCAGTTCCTGCCACCACTTGGGAGACCTGGACTGCCTTTCCTGGGTCCCTGCTCTCCTAGCTGGCTGGTGTGGACATTTCAGGAATGACCCAGCAGATGGGAGCTCTCTTTGCCTCTTTCCCACTCCTATGCATTCTTAAAAATAAGACTATAAATAAATAAATAAAACGAAAAGTAGCTGATTTGATTGGACATCTTTCTAAAGAAAAATTTTATAGAAAATGGCACGAAAAAATTATTATAGTGCAAACAATTTTTGAAATCTATGCATGCCCGTATATGGCTCACAGTTTGGAGGACTAGAGGGTTCAGATCCAGTAACTACATTCATTCAGCCTGTGTTGAGCTTCCCTTGACTGTGTCACATCTTGGTAGATGCCTCCCGCATGATGCAGGCTTATGCAAGAGGGAGAGAGCTCCTGGCAAGACAGGAGGCAAGAATGGGAGACCAGGAGGGGCCAGGTTGGCTGTTTCACTTCCACCCTCTCCAGTCCTTCCTCCCCTGGGCAGTGTCTTCAGTGACAAAATTCCTTCCCAGGAGGTCATGTCTCTTAAAATTCCACACCACCTCAGAACACCCACCACCCTGAGCACCAGGCTCCCAACACAGGAACTCCTGGGGGGCACACTCAAACCATAGCACCTCTTAGTCATTTTTCTCTTTGTTTGCTCTTTTGAGTCTTTTCTTTTGGTTGATGGATTTAAAGCATACTGGGAGAAGTCATGCAAATAGAGCTTCCTCGTGGATGACGATGTTGGAAAGGAGATGAAAACATTTGTACTTGCTCAGGCACAACTTTTATACAGCACTCAAAGTCAAGGACACTGTTTTATAGAATAGAATGAGATGTGGAGGTCTCAGTAAAGTGACATTTTTTTCTGAGGGACAGAAATTGGTCATTAGCTCAAAAATGTTCATTGAAAAAATAAAGTCCCCATTACTAGCAATGGCGGATAAGGCATGTGCCTGATTTCACCATTACTGGATAGTGTGCAAAGGACAGATCTCACTTTCCCAAAACAAAAATACATGGAGTCTAAAATGTGGAATTACTCAAAGCCTGACTTTACAGCAGCATAAACATGCTTACAGAAAAAAGTCCCCAAGACCTCAGAAAACAAACAACATGTAAGCACCTTTAGGAAGTAAGTGTAGTGTCGACAGGGAAGGTAATAGTACTTTTTTGAAATAGTTTTAGATTTACGGAAGAATTGCAAAGACAGTACAGAGTAATTGGTTTTGTAACAACGAATTCAGCCTGCGGTGGTCTCTTGATTTTCTTCATCATTTTAGGATAATGGAAAATGGGTTCAGGTACAGAAGCGAGTTCTCCGCGTTCTGATCATTTCAAAGAAAATCTTGGTACAGGATGTTTACCCTGTCATTAATCTGTAGGATATTGTTTTTATATGATAGTTTTTGAATATGATCAAGGCATTAGCATTTCTCTATCAAATGAGACATCATCTTGACAACCACCAAGCAACTCTGGGCCTGAAAGAATTTAGTGCAAAAGAATCAGGTATGAATCTACATTAGACGAAAACATATTTTATAGGAGTTATTTTCTCCGTAATAATAAAAATAATCGCCATAAACATTCATATTTTGGAAATGTAGTATAGTTGAGGTTCTGTGTAATTTTATTTTATTTCCCATTACATAAGACTTTCACAATTTTTTATTATCCTTGTGGGTAAGAAATGTGAACGCAAAAGCAATAATCTACAAAAATGGGGCGTATGGATTTTATAATAAAAACTTTTGAAACTTATACCATGAAACAGTTTCAAGCAAATAGCAAACATCCGTGTTCTCACTACCTGGATTATTCATCACTTTTGGAGCGGCAGAAACAGACAAAGAGAGCATGCGCTCCCATTTGTGGATTCACGCTATGGATACTCAAAACTGCCAGATTAGGCCAGGCTGAAGCCAGGAACTGGGAACTGCATGCATGTCTCACATGTAAATGGCAGGAAGCCGGTTACCTAACCCATCACTGCTGCTTCACACAGTGTTCAGGAGCCCAAGATCCAATCAAGCAGTTTGACATGGGTTGTGGGTGTCTCCACCACTATGTCAGTTGCAATCCTGCACTACTTAGGTTTTTAAAATTTTAAAGTATAGTCACATACGTTTCAAAATTTTTAAAGATTTCTTTTTATTTGAAAGGCAGATTTGTAGAAAGAAGGAGAGGCAGAGAGCTCTTCCATCCACTGGTTCACTCCCCAAATGACTGCAACAGCTAGAATTAAGTCAATCAGAAGCCAAGAGCCATGAGTTTCTTTATTGTCTTCCACATGGGTTCAGGGTCCCAAGGACTTGAGCCATCCTCCGCTGCTTTCCCAAGCCACAAGAAGGGAGCTGGATGGGAAGTGGAGCAGCTGGGAATAGAACCCGTGCCCATATAGGATGCTGGAGCTACAAGCAGAGGATCGGCCTGTTGAGCCACTGTGCGAACCCCCTAGTTCAGATTTTTTTTAAGGGAATAAAGCATTACAGATACGGTCTCACTGCAAGAGAAAACAGGATCAAACAACTTCTGCTGTGTTCAGCAGGTGTTAATACGGGCCAGTGAATGCCTACAGAGAAGCCAGTTAGTTGGACTCCCAGGAATGATCCTGGAGCAACACAATAGACCAGGACTCTTCTCCTCCCAGCAACTCTACCAGCCAGGAAGGTCACCCCCTCTCTGGTGCAGGAGGAAGGTGGATGATTGAGAAAGCCAACACTCTGGCAGCCTTGGCAATGTCTGGACATGTTCTGTGCCCAACAGATCTGCCCTGGAAAAAGTGGGTGCCCATGCCCTGCCCTGCATGTCCATAACCTCAGGAAGCCACACAAAAGGGGCAGGAGCATGCTCTCCATCCCCTCTGATACATAATGAAATGTTATCCATCATGAGATGAAAGTTAATGTCCTTTTTTTATCTGAATGACCCAACTATTGTGTCCTCCCAGCCCTGCCCAACATCATACTACTGTTGTGTTTGTGATCTTGTCTGCCCTGGGCATGAGACTTATTTGCCTAATTACAACCCTTGAATGGAGAAATCAGATCTGCATCCACACCCCAAACCCACCTACCCCCTCCTCCATCCCAGCTCAGGACTTCACATGTGGCAGCCAGCTGAATCTGATTGATGGCAGCTCCCTGGAGCGCCCCCTCTTTCCTTCTGTCTCGGTTGAGGAAAGAGAGAGGGAAGAGAGAGAGAGAGAGAGAGAGATACTTCCCGATAGCTTCCCATGGTTCTTAGAACCGTTCTGTCCCTCGGGGTTTGCTTCTGTGAAAGATGTGCATTTCCTGCCAATGTGTGTGTCTTCGCAGGGAGCAGCAGCCACACAGCCCGCCGCCCCACCGAGCTGGGCTTCCCCAGGAGGCTCCCCAGGCTCCCGCCCCAGCTGCGCTGCCTCGACCCCCCAGCAACTCTCCAGCCAGAGGCACTCTGAGGACAAGCAATTTGCCGGAAGAGTTGCGTAAGTTGTTTGGCGAGGCTGTTTTCTCCTTCTTGTCAGTCTGGAGTATGAGTGTTCACCCTTGACCTTAGAAAGGAAACGATTTTTTTTTTCCCTTCTTGCTTGAACAGTAGCCCGCATTTTTGTAGGAATGTGTTCAGCGATTCCGACACTTCCAGAACAGCTCACAAACTGCTTAGCCCTAGATTTTCTTAAAGCGCATATTCTGACAGCAAATAACGCCAACGCTCTCCCTCTCTGCTAAGTGGCGCTTTCCAGGGGACTTGTCCCTGGGGAAATTGATGGGCTGTCAGTGTGGTATAGGACAGGGCCCTGGTGTCTCATCGTAAATTAGCGGCGGCCATCAAGAACGAGGTCATTTCCTGTAGGAATGAGCAATCTTGTTTGGAAAAAAAAAAGTCCTCACAGTCTCCATATTGCTTCACAACCACAAGCAAATGAAGCCTTTTATTTAAAGAAACATTCAGCTGTGTCAGGTGATGATTTTTCTTTTCCATGCTTTACTGCCAGAACCAGAAATGTTGAAATATCACCAAAATGTTCTCCTATTAACGTCAGTCAGGATTGTCGGTTCCAGAAATCTTAAGGAAACAGCCACTACTTGAGGAACTATTATCAGTTGTGCTTGCGAAAGTAGCTCAGCTGGGTGTTTTGTTTTGCTTCGTTTAACATGTATGTGTTTGAAAGGCACAGGTACAGAGATAGTGGGGGAGAGATCACTACCCTGGGTCAGTGACCACAACAGCTGGAGCTAGGTCAGGCAGAAGTCAGGCATCTAGGATCCCCTCTAGGTCTCCAGTGGCATGGACACTTGGGCCGTCATCTGTTGCTTTCCCAGGCACATTAGCAGGGAGCCAGATCAGAAGTAAAGGAAGTTAGGACTCAAACCTATGGCCAATGCCAGCATCACGGGCAGCAGCTTAACATACTGTGGCAGCTCAAGTGCTTCAAATGAGCTCTCCCCAAATCTGGAAGGCTCATCACACCAAACCAAACTTGAGATGAAGCCCTTTGCCACTGTCAACTCCTTTTGGGGAATCTGTAATCTGTAGTCCCATAAATTGCTAAAAGAACTAGTTTCTATGGCAATGAATTATTGCTGTTTTCATTTTTTTAAAAGTGTGCTGTCCAAGCATCTTAAAATCTTACATGTTTTCATTTTGAGCACTTCTGGAAAGCAGGTGCTGCCCCGGAAAGGATACAGCCCTGCTGTCTGTCCACAGATCAGATGTCTAAAATCATGTGGGTGGAAACTGGGCGAACATTGGATAGAATAAGAAAGAGTCCTGCACAATCACACTCCTTCCTGCTTCAATGAGCTAATGTGATTATTGGGTGCACCCCTGTGTTTGAGCCAATTCACTGATGTTCAGATGAATATACATGGGCTCACATTTGTTTTTCTCCAGCCCCCTTTTCTCCCCTCTATGCCCCAGGGGAGTCCTGAGAGATAACCCACTGGCCCACACACCCAGAGAATTCTTCCCCCCAGGTTACATGAACTTCTCTAGGGAAATCTGGCAGTCCTGCCGGTCAAGCCTATCCCAACGGTGCTGCCCACTGCTCTGACCTGGCCTGGGACCAGGTGACGGAGCAATGTGATTGTGGACAGCCCCAGGGGTGGATGGGGGCACAGCTCTCCTTCAAGCACTGACTGAGCTGAGCTGAACCTCAGTCACCCCAAGCCTCCTGGCCTTTCTCCCCAAGTGAGGGGGTGGGGAGGGCTGTTCTCGACTGGAGAGAGAGTTCAAGGTAGCCAGAGGACAACACTGGGAGATCAAAAGGACACAGCCTGGGTGGCCCCTAGCAAGTGTCAGCTTCCTGGCTTTGCTGTGAGAGCACTCCTTGGGCAGCACGCCAAGTGTCTCTAAGAAACCAGAGGCAGCTTGTGCTCAGAGACCAGTTCTGAGCCACAGCTGTTTTTTTGTTGTTGTTGTTGTTTGGGTTTTTTTTTTTTTTTTTTTTTGACTGATGCCCCTTATGGTCTCTCTGAAGGCCTGATCAACCTTGACCTGCCCGGGCTTGCCAGATCCCTTTTTTGTCCCACTGGTTTCCATTGACCCTGAACAGTCTGCAGAGTTCTCCTCCAGATGAATCAGGCTACCAAGGCAGCAAGCACAAAACCCCAAGGCCACCCTCACTCCAGAGATTCCTGTATCACTCTAGAAGAGCTGAAGACCTTAAGCAGAGCTCAGAAGTAGTTAGGCTAGAATGCTCTGACTGGTTTCTAATCTATGTGGACCATCTCTCTTAGGGAAAGTCTTTATCACTTATTCGATGGACACAGCGATGGAGGTGGTGAAATTCGTGAACTTTCTGTTGGGCAATGGCTTCCAAACTGCAGTAAGTATTTTCTGCAAAGAGAAAATCCAACATGGAAAAGTGAGTACAATGCAACATGCAAGAACTACAGATAGCTGTTGATATTATAAATGATCTTAATGGATTTCTTTGGCTAGAGACCCTATCTCTATGGCTTTTAGTCATTTGCTAGATTATAAACCATCCAGTGCCTCCAGCACTTTCTTCTCCCTGCGCTAAACATGCCTGAGAACCTCTGAACCAACAAGTGCAGTGCCCATGGTGACCACACGAGCAGCCGGCCTGCACTCTTGCTGGACTTTGGCCCTTGGCCTGTTTTTTGATTCCTTTATCTATTTGAAAGTCAAAGTTAGAAAGAGACAAAGAGATTTTTCCATCTGCTGATTCATCACCTGCTAGATGAGTAAAACATCCAGAGCTGGGCCAGGAGCCAGGAGCTTCATCCAGGTCCCAAATGGATGGCAGGGACCCAAGCACTTGGGTGGCCTTCAACCACGTTTTTCTTTAAAGATTTTATTTTATTTTATTTTACTTTATTTTATTTTAAAGGCAAATATACAATGAAAAAGATTTCCCATCTGCTGATTCACTCCCCAAGTGACTGCAACAGCAAGAGCTAAGCTGATCCAAAGCCAGGAACCTCCTCTAGGTCTCCCATGTGGGTGTAGGGTCCCGAGGCTTTGGGCTATCCTCTACTGCTCTCCCAGGCCACAAACAGGGAACTTGATGGAAAGTGGAGCAGCCGGGACACAAACTGGCACCCATATGGGATCTCGGCACTTGTAAGATAAAGAAGTAGCCACTAGGCTATCACGCTGGGCCCCTTCTGCCACTTTTCCTAGGTCATCAGCAGGGAGCAAGATGGAAAGTGGAGCAGCCGGGACAAAGAACCAGTGCCCATATGGGATGTTGGCATTGCAAGTGGCAGCTGTACTTGCTGCACTACAAAAGCAGCTCCTGCCTTTGCCTTTTCTTGCCACCTGTGCCCCGTCTGCTCATGCCTCCTGAGATGCAGGAAGCTGCAGGTTTCACCACAGGCACCTGTGCATTTAACAAGAGTCTTTTCTTCTTCACAGGATTATGTAAAGTAATATCCAAGCAGCCTGGGTACCTCTGGTGTCCTACACACACACACCTGCATGCCCCACAGATACTTCCAGAAAGGAAGCAACAGGCCAGGTTTTCAGCCGGTCTGGTCTAGATCAAGGGGAGGCCACTTTAACCCAGCCCTGAAGAAACTGCAACAAGCCTTTTCTCCTCCCATCCCCCTACAGCTCCTAGAAACAGCACAGCTCACAGCGTTGCAAGTTTTTTTAGGATAAGTCAAATACTTCAGGACACTTCTCAGAGGACTGGCTTTTCTCAAATAATGACATCACTTCTTTGCCTTCTACCAGGCCTCTTCTGGGTATTCAGTGTCAGGGAGAGTAAGTGGAAACACCTGAGCAACTTACCTATGGCTAGAAATGTTGGAGGATAAAGAGGAATATTTTGCCAACGAAATGTCCATTTTTAATGTTACCCTAGCATTGTTTAGGTGGATTTTTTTTTAATTTGAAGCAATCTTTATTGTTCACCACTTTTTACAAGGTTTACTTGTATATGCAAGAGGCATAATTACAAGAGGGAGAGAGAACTTTCCAAATGTTCACACCAGCTGGGGCCAGACCAGGCTGAAGTCAGGAGCTTGGAACCCCATCCAGGACTCCCAGGTGGGTGGCAGGGGCTTGGCTGTCTGGGCCATCTTCTGCTTTCCCAGGCACGTGAGCAGAGAACTGGATTAGAAGTGAAGCAGTCGGGACTTAAGCTAGTGCCCATATGGAATGCCATTGTTGCAGGTGGCAGCCCAACACAGTATACCATAATGCCAGCCCCTCCTCTTTAATAAATGTTTCTAAATGGTAGTATCTGAAAGCCTTAAAAAAAAAAAAAAAAAACAAAGATGCAATTTATACAATCCAACCTCCTGGCTACAGATATGGACTGATATTTCACTTTCTCATTTCTGCACACAGAAAGCTCTATGGTAGCCATGACATAAAATCAAATAAGATATAAGGCCAAGCTTTCCGTAAAGAATTCACTTTTCATCATTTTCCAAAGAAGCAAAACTGACTCCCCTATCCCCCCACAGAGGCAGGTGCAGAGAGAGCCCAGGCTTTATTTACCTTACCAGTCAAGGGCTGTTTGGCAGAACTCAAATCTGTCCTTGCCCCACCTCACTCTGAAGCTGCCACACATCCATTTGAGCTTTCCAGAAGTGTGTAAATGCCTTTTGAATTTTCAAACCAAAAATACCCATCTGGCATTTGAGGTGTGTGGCTGGCTTACATCCAATGTGGCAGTGGTGTCCTGTGTCCTTCCAATTTTTAAAAGCCATTATGATGGAGCTCCAGAGATCATTTTTGTACCACTACATCGTAATGATTACTAATCACAATGTTGAAATTGGCACTCTTTGAAGAAAATTTTGTTTGTTGATTTACTTTTGTGCTTCCCCTTGCACAGATACCAACCTACCCCCACCCCTATCCCCAGCTGACTGTGGGTCTGGAATGCCCAGGTCTCACCGAAGGCCACCTGCCACTTCTTTGCCTTGCAGATCGACATATTTGAGGACCGAATTCGAGGCATCGATATCATCAAATGGATGGAGCGTTACCTTAGGGATGTAAGTACATTCTTAAACACTGAGGCTTCTTTTCTGGTGAGAAACCCAGTGGCTTGTGAAGTGATTTTTTTTTTTTTTATGAAAGAAGTGCTGGCAGGCCCCATCCCCCTTCCCTACCCCACCCCCACCCCTGGGTCTAAATTCACTGGGGCCTGCTCTCACTGGAAGCTGAGCCCAGACATGGAAAGGAAGGATGGGGTCGCCCTCCCAGACAGGCACAGGCAGGAAATTACAGCCAAACCAGACACAGGTGGTTGATAACCATCGGAACAAACCACTTTTTTTTTTTTTACCAGATTAGGAAAGGAGGAAATGAAGGCAGGAGTGGGCTGAGGCAGCAGAACTGCAGAAATCTGCTTCAAGCCATCCCCATGTGTCCTGTAGGATGAGGCCAGAGAGCCATCCCAGTTGGTGGTCTGGCTCCCAGGACACCCCCTCTTGGCCGGGGATTTGTTTTCCATGAACAGAATCCCTGCTGGCCACTGGGCTGCTTTGTGCTGAAACAGGATAGAAATTGATCAGGGCCAGGCACTGGTGTCTCAGCCCACCGGGCTGCAGCAGCAGCAGCAGCTGCAGCTCCTCCTTTTGTCTGCAGCCAGATGTTTGCTTTGTGCCTCAGGGTCGCTAGTGCCCACGTGGGCTGGGGGTGGCAGCTCTGGAGCCAGCTGTGGGCAGACAGGGTGACAGGGGCTGCTTCTCAAGGGTGCAGACTCACTTTCATGATTCTGGCTCTCATGAGCCTATGGGTTCGAGAAGCTGGTGGAAAATGTGCCAGACACATCTGTGGCCCTGCATAGTGGAGGGCGGACAGAGAGGGCAGAGGGGGAAAAGCAGAACAGAGTATGGCCTAAGAGGCTGCGTGCCTGTCACTCTGCATGCAGAGAGTGCCTGGCCCCTCCATCTGTGAAGGCGTCCGTGAGCACTTGCAGCACTGCTGGCCACTGTCCAGCCTGCCTTCGCCAAATGGACCACACTTTCCGCTTCCATAAACATGCTTTCCACCCACTCCTCCCACCCCCACTTCTCATTAACAGAAGACAGTGATGATAATCGTGGCAATCAGCCCCAAATACAAACAGGATGTGGAAGGCGCCGAATCGCAGCTGGACGAGGATGAGCACGGCTTACATACTAAGTACATCCATCGCATGGTGAGTGGGGAGGGGACACAGCATCCGCTGTCCCCAGGACCTGGGCACTTGGCACACTCTCCCAATGCAAGCCCACCCTTTGCCAGAGATGGACTGGAGGTGACATGATGCCTGGGGAGGGACTCCAGCCGCCTCCCTTGGCAGCTGCATGTGTGAGACATGGACCTAGCTCTGTCCACCTGTGGGACCAATGTGTGTGTGAGTCCCTATACCGGTATGGCGCAATGCTCTCATCCATCACAAGAGGAGACAGGTCTGGGACAGCTAAGGATCCTAGAGGCTGGAAAATGGTTACTCGCTGGCTTGGTTGTTGGCTAATCAAGGTAAAGTCCCAGGAGGGTGGACAACGGGGCCAGGAGGAGAGGGAACACTCATGTGGCCATATCCCACTCTGTCTGCCTGCCTTCTCCAAGAGAAGGATACAGGCTACAGCACCAGACGGACTGGGCTCAAATTTGGCATCCTTCTTTAACAGGCTCATGTGGCTGTGTCCAGCTGCTTATGTCTCTCAGTGTCCCCCTCCACACACACACACACACATACTGAAGATGGGTCACTGACACAGTGCTCTTGCCAAAAGTAAGTGGAATAACATCTGTGAATCATCGAGTGCATAGTGACCCGGGGCACTAAGGGAGAACAGGAGATGGGTGCAGGGAACAGAAGTGGTCTGGATGGAGTAGGTGGCCCAGAGGCTCTATTTCTTTGTCCACCAAGCACAGACCACACATTCAAGCCCACAACCAACCTATAGCAACATGGAAGCAGAGTGTCTAGGTTTGGGGCTCAGGGAAGCAGAAGAAGAGAAGTTCCTCCTATCCCAGCCTCACAGATGTCACTTTGGAAGCAAACAGGTCCTGGCTGCTCTCTGGTCCATATCTGTTTGGTCCATATGTACATGGATGGCATCAGTGCGCCTGCTGCCCTGTCCACTGAGCTCTGCCTATCCCAGGTCCCAACAGCTGGTGCACGGGAAGTGCTTCAGGTCCCTGTCAGTGCTCACACAGCTGCCTGGCTCTGCTGCTGTACCCCCACACCCAGGCAGCAGCCTGACTCTGCCAGCCAAGCGTGTATTGTCTTCCAGCTCATCATGATCTTGGATCATGATGTCTTAGGGCTTTCCTCATCCCCAGAAGGAGGGGAAGCACCTGCCTGCCCAGCTGGCTGGCTTACTGGTCCCCCTCCAGGCCACACACAGGACCCTGGGACATTAAGAGCATGGCTGTGACAGAGGGTGTACAGATAAATAGCCCTGAGTTACTGCATCATAAAACAAACTGCTCCATAGAGAGCCAGTTGTCTGGAAGAATCTCTACTGACCACACTGCACCTAGCTGCTTATTTACTCTCTGCCTACCCACTGCAATGCTGTTTGAGAAGACAAGCACAGTCTCATCAAAGTGCCTCTCCAAAACAAACATAAAATCCAGATCTGAGGGTGATTGTCCTAGTGGCTGAGACACATGTAATCCTTATCAGAGTGCCTGAGCCAGTCCCTGAACAGATGGGGCAGGCCAGTGAACAAACCCAACTGACCAGTACACAGTGGCCTAAAGGTGAGAACCAAAACCTAGTTGACTGTGGACTCACAAACTCTTCCTGTACTAGGATGGGTTTGCTGTCTGCTGCTGCAGTAGCATCAGTGGTTTGGGTGCCACAATCCTGGGATTGCTGAAAAACATGCTTTCAGCGCTGTCTTCTGATTTTCGAAGGGAGGTGAATCTGAGAAGCCTTATAGAGGATCTCTGTGTGTCATAAGTGTGTGTGTGTGTGTGTGTGTGTGTGTGTGTGTGTGTGTGTGTGTGTGTGTGGAGGTGCGGCTGTGTGTGTTTATGAGGCATTTCCGTGGTGATTTCAATAAGCAGTCATCCTTTCGGACGGCCATGGCGGCGGGTGGTGATGGACGCGTGGTCCCCTGCTCTCCAGCCGCGCCGACCCGGCCAGGAGCGTTCGCTGCGCCCCCGGGACGCTATGGAGTCCGGTGTCCAAGCGGAAGCCGGCCGCGCTCCTAGGCGTCCCCCTCGGGTGAGGACCTGACCTGTGTACCCCGCGACTGCAGGAGGGCAGGTGGCCCGGTGGAGGAGTGCGCGGCCCCTGGTTTCTCAGCCTGAGGAGACCCCAGGGGGCAGCCAGCTCCCAGCCACAGCCGCATGAAGGACCAGCCCACAATGGGGCTATGGTGGACACCGCTTGTCACCAAGGCGTGGCAGAAATGGAATAAATTAACGATAGTAGATTGTGAAAAAAAAAAAAAAAAGCAGTCATCACCACTGTGCTTTTCTTCTGTTTTTGTTCCCATGTATGATGAAGACTTCTGAGTTCTGAAACTCCATTGGGAGATAGAATCACTGAAAATGCACAGTTCCTCCTGTTGTCAGCATAGGGCTGAAAGCTTTGTGCTGGTCACAGGTTTTGGGAGATTCTCACACCCCTGAGATGGAAAATTCTGACTGTGGCAGAGTTCTTGGCAGCTAAGTCTTCTTGGGCTACCACAGTAGAAGAGGAGTGGGCAACCTAGAATCCTTGTACACTGTGTGATTCACAAGAAGCCTTGCCACCTCCCTGCCCTGCCTGCCCTGGGCGCTGGCTGCCATGGGTCACCAGCCAATCCCAGCTGCTACACTTGCTTCCCCAAAAACATCCTTCTCTTCTCTGCCCCACCCCCGCCCCATTTGCTCAGGTCTTGGCTTCTTTCCTTGGTGGAATGACCGTGCCCTTAAAACTGCCTTTCAAATCCCAGATGTAGACTCGATGGCCCCCATTTGGGCTCCCAAAACAGCTGTTGCTGCTGCTAACACCACCCCTGGCTAGTTATTTACTCTGCCTGCTCACTGCAATGCTGGCTTTGAGAGGATAACTACTGTCTCATCAAATTGCCTCTCCAAAATAATAATGATTATGATGATAAAATAGAAATCCAGATTTGAGGGTGTTCGGCCTGCTGGTAAACCTGTAGCAGAGTGTCTGAGTTTGATTCCTAGTACCAACTGCTGCCCATTCAGACCTAGGGAGCAACAAGGAATGGCTCAAGCAGTTGGGTCCCTGCCACGCCAGTGGGAGATTTACATCACGTTTCCTGGCTCTCAACTTCAGTTCCTACTCCAGTCCCAGTCATATGGGCATTTGGGGAATGAACCAACCTGTTCTGTTTCTGCCTCTTGAATTTTTTTTAATTCGTAACATTCACCCATTTCCATGGTACAAATGCTGTTATACTGGCCAATTTCAGGTTACCAACATGAAGCCCCTGAACACCAAATTGGAAAGAGATGCACACAGCTGGCCCCTGTGGGCCAATTCCAGCCAGCTCCAGCAAATCCTGGAGGGCATCCAAATCCTTCAAATCCAAAGGCTGGTGCAGAGGTGACCTTAGTAGACCATAAATGAGTGAATGGCAGAGACGAGGAAGGTGAAAGCCGGCTTAACAGAAACAAGTGACACCCAAATACAAAAATCAGAATGGAGATACTGTGTGGCCTGGTCAGGGAATGGGGAGCCGATGGTACCTGTCCTCAGTCCTGAAACCTTTGTATTTATCTGATTTCAGATGCAGATTGAGTTTATAAAACAAGGAAGCATGAATTTCAGATTCATCCCTGTGCTCTTCCCAAACGCTAAGAAGGTAAACACAAACAAGCCACAAATACATAATTCAGTCTTCGGTCTTCGTAAGTGGAAAATCTGCTGAACCCTTTGTAAAACCTGAGAGATAACAATGTTACTAGAAAGATCAACAGGTGTACCCTGTGGTTCAGCAACACAAAGCAGCAAAGTCTCAAACTGTTATCTGATGGCATCACACTGTCCTAATTGCTCCAGCGGCCACTGCACACAAAGAAGTAGTTTGTGTTTTAAACTCATGAAGAAAAGGAGACCATTCTTTTGATATGCCTTATCTCTTGGACACAAGTCAGGCTATGTGTATTTTTTGGCTGGCTGTTTCCTGAAGGCATTTGGCTACACACGGTTTGGTTCTCCCAGCCATAGCTGAAGGCATTAAGTCTCTGCAGTACCCAAAATGAACTTTACTGGGGTTCAGACAAAGGTTTTCACACCAGAAAACATGTGCGGGCAGGTTTGGAGAATGGGGGAGCAGAACCACAGGGGCCAAAGCTCTCAGCTGGGAAGTGGAAGTTGTGATGGAGTAAATATCTTGTGAAGCAGACCCCAGCGCCCTGAGCTAAGGCCCCCTCCTCCCTGGAGGACCCCTACGTGTCAGGGCTGCATTGAGACCTCTGTCCTGGATGAATGTGGGTCCAACCTACGTGAGTGGTTGCACAGCACAGCCTACACACCAGGACAACTTCCCCTCTCCCTTGCTCCCTTGCTTAGGGTCTCATTGCTCTCATCAGCCAAGGAGTCTTCTTCATGGTCTGCTGGCTCCACTCTGCCCTTGGACTCGCTGCTTTCTGCTCCAAAATGTTGAACAGCTCTTTCCAGCTTAAAAAGCTTGGTGCTGTTTTCCCCTGACTACAGGCTCACGTCCACCTTTCTGAGCATGACATGCGAGCACAGTCTTCTCTCGTAGCCCTCTGGGTACAGGAGCTTTATGTTGGGGCCATGCTGGGTTGCCCTCACACCCTCCATGTTGTTTCCTGCCTCAACATCTTTGCCCTTTCTCTTTCCTCTGCTTGCCAAATCTTCCTCTGACTTGCCTGCCTCGTGAACTCCCGCTGATTTTACCATCCCATCTCTCTGCCTCCCCGGAGCTTTCGTTCCCATTTAGGTACCAGGAGGTATTGTTGTCCCTCTCTCGAGAGCTCTTCGTTCTGGTACCTTGAGGTAGTGGCATGCTGTTGTGGGGGAGGTGAGCCTCTGGGGATAATTGTTGAGAATTACTGGAGCGTGGTGTTATAAAAAACAGACCAGCTTTCCCCTGGTTCCTCGACAGTTTGTAAATCCCCTCCAGGTGATCCTAATCGCCTTGCTCAGGACAGGCCTCCCGCACTTCCTGGCGTCAAGGTACATCATAGTCTAGAAAGTCCTCTCCTTACATTTTGCTTGCATCCTAACCTGTTTCTCACCCCCTGCTTGGCAGCTACTGTCTTTTTCACTTGGGGATCCTCAAGCATGGGGCCTAATTTGCAATTAGGTACTGCTTCTAAACTCTCTTTTCATCCCCGAAGGAGTTCATCTCAAAGCAAAAAAAAAAAAAAAAACAAGGGTAGGCCTTCAGTGGCCCACCAGGTCCTGTCTACTTCCACACCTCACCTGCCCAGTCTCACATACTCTGCTCCAGCCACTCGGGTCTCCTGGCATTAGAGTAGGCCCAGCACACTCCCAGCCACAGGGTATTTGCACTGATGCTTCTATCTGCCTGGACCAAGAACCACAAAGCTTATCTCCCCACACACTGTTTTTAGATCTTTGTCCGTTTTCCTAAGCACTCCCGATCTCTTCTATTTTTTGTGCTCACTTACTGTTGAATACACTATCTGTGCTACTTATTAGCTACATCTCAAATAGTTTTGGCTTTCTTTAGTTGAAAGGTAGAGAGGCAAACAGAGCCCCCATCTGCCTGTCCTGTCTCCAGATGTTTACAACCGCTGGGAGAAGGCCACGCTGAAGCTAGAAACTGTGACCTAATGCAAATCCCCCCTATGGGTGACAGTGAACTACCTGAACCATCTCACCTACGGCCTCCCGATGTGTGCCTTAGCAGGAAGGAAGAATTGGGAGCAGAGTAGGGCTCGAACCCCGGACCTTGGATACAGAATGTCAGCACCCCAAGTAATGTCCTACCCACTGTGCCAAACACCTGCCCCACCACTGATACTCAATCCCTAAGGGTGGCCTGAATCCACACACCCAACCCCCACCCCTCCATACACACATTCCCACCCCACTCCCTGCCACAGAATCACAAGCTTACAATTGCTGCCTTGCCTGGACACGGGTCTTCTGGTCTCCTCCCCCTGCAATCCCAACCTGGGGCTGGAGGAAAGGGGAATGAATCTGCTGAAGCCCACAGCCTTGGCAGACATACACTCCCCTCCCCAGCCTCAGGGGAATTTGCATCACTCTGCATGACCTCCATTCCACCTCTTTCATGTGAGGTGATGAAAAGCACGTTGAAATGCAACGGGCAGGTAGCCTAGGAGACTGGCAGAAAATGCTTGTGCACATGTGGTTTCCATAATGAGCACTATAGCTTGCACCTGAAGCCAAGAGCGCTTTCTACACTAAACCCTTCCAACAGCCAAAAACAGTGCAGGACCGGGGGAGGGGTGGATGAGGGGAAGAAGGGAATGGTTGTGTGGGAAACAGCCGTGGAGATGAGACCGAGGAGATGTGTGGGAGACGGGCCTGCGACCTGTAATCCAGGTTTTTCCTTTCTCTCATGTCCGCTTCTGTTTGCTGTCTGTCCACAGGAGCACGTACCTACCTGGCTTCAGAACACGCACGTCTACAGCTGGCCCAAGAATAAGAAGAACATCCTGCTGCGGCTGCTCCGAGAGGAGGAGTATGTGGCCCCTCCCCGAGGGCCTCTGCCTACCCTTCAAGTGGTGCCCTTGTGACTGACACTGTCCAGCCCCCGGGCCCTGCCAGGCTTGGGGCCCTGTTGTACCCCACCACCTTGGTAGGTGAGGCCAGTCGGTGGCAGGTGGCAGGTGGCAGGGGGCAGTGGAAGAGGCGCTGACGGCAGGCTGTTTCTCAGTCCTTCCATTAAGCACCTGCCTCCTGGCACCTGCACAGGCGGAGGCTGTGGCTGCTGAACTCTGTGCAGTGGCCAGTGTCTAACTGGTTCTTCCTCACAGTAAGGGATGTTGCCAAGCAGTGTAAACCACGAGCAGCACTTTCCTCCTATCTTTACAAGCTCCTCTTAGGAGTTAGCCAGATGCCTGTGTGTCCTCAGACCCAACTGAATCCTGAACAAATAAAACAATGTTTACTCTTTTCTGAGAGTGTGTTTCCCTTCTCTTCAAGGAAATAGATACCAACTAACTCTGCAATCAGGTGAGCCCTTGTTTCCTGCCACTCAACAAGGCTGCTTAGTGTACTATTAGATAAATGTGACAGGTGACTGAATCAAAACATGCAAGCCAGATGGTTAAATAACCCCTTTTCACATAACCATGAAAGTTATGTTTTTGTTTTTAATTTTAGGGAACATTTCCCACCTTCATTCCTTTGCCATGATTTCTGAGATTTTTGTTTGGGTTTGGTTTTTGGATTTTTCAGAGATTTGTTTATTTGAAAGGCAGAGTGACTGAGAGGGAAGGAAAGAGAGAGTATCTTCCATATGTTGGTTCACTCAGCAAATGCCCACAGTGCCTGAGGTTGGGCCAGTTAGAAGCCAGAAGCATAGAAATCCATCTGAGTGTTCCATGACGGCCAGCACTCAGGACCTTGGGCCATCTTCTGTTGCTTTCCCAGGCACATTAGTAGGGAGTTCAAGCAGGAATGGAACAGCTGGAACTCAAACCAGTCACTCCATTATGGCTGTGTCACAATACTAGCCCCTGCAGTAAACATTATTTCAAAGTATTATTTGAAAGGTAGAGGTACATGGGGAGACAGACACAGATATTTTGCATCTGCTGGTTCACTACCCAAATGGCTTCAACAACTGGGACTGGGCCAGGCAAAACCATGAGTTTCTTCTGGTCTCCCACACTGGAACATTAGCAGGGAGCAGGATTAAAAGTGGAGCAGCCACCCCTCTGTGGTAGGTGAAGGGCGAGCGTATGTTGGGCAGGGCAGGGCTGGGCTGCAGCACCTATTGGTTTGCTGAGGATGGAGGGCAGAACAAACTGATCGAGTAGAGTGCAGCTTCACAGCAGATTTCTGGGACAGTGGAGACTCACAGGTAGACTTGGGCCAATCAATCTTGGAAATCACATGAGCAGAACCCTCAAAAAATACTCCACAATAGGGATTCTGGGATGACATTGGGTGGCAGTTCCCCGACTCCTGGGTAATGCAATGGTTGGGAGGCTGGGCATGGTTTCTCCTCTTGTATCCTCCTCTCCCCCATATACAGGAAGAAGAGAAAGAAAACGTGTAAACAGTAGTCTCACCCACTATCCCTTGATCCTTAACCCTTCTCACCCTGATCAGTTATGTAACATAATCAGTCCTAGCTTATGGTTAAGGAAAGAAAGGAGGAAGGAAGGGAGGGAGGGAGGGAGGGAGGAAGGAAATAAAGAAGGAAGGAAGGAAGGAAGGAAGAAAGGAAGGAAGGAAGGAAGGAAGGAAGGAAGGAAGGAAGATTTTTCTCTTTGTGTCTCCCTTTCTCTGTATATCTGACTTTCCAATAAAAATAAATGATTTATAAAAAAGAAATTACTGATGCCATTTTATTTATTCATATGGAAAGAATCAAGGAAGGGAAGGAAGGAAGAGGGAAAGGAAAAAAAGAAAAAGAAAGGAGGGAAGGAAAGAATAAAGCAAGGAAGGAAGGGAAAGAAAGACATTTAAAGACAGAAAGGGAGAAACAGAGAAACAAACATTTTCTTTTTTGTTTTAAAGATTTATTTTTATTATTTTTTTCATTGGAAAGGCGGATATACAGAGAGGAGAGACAGAGAGGAAGATCTTCCATTCAATGATTCACTCCCCAAGTGAGCGCAACGGCCAATGCTATGCCGATCCAAAGCCAGGAGGCTCTTCCGGGTCTCCCACGCGGGTGCAGGGTCCCAAAGCTTTGGGCCGTCCTAGACTGCTTTCCTGGGCCACAGGCAGGGAGCTGGAAGGGAAGCGGGGCTGCTAGGATTAGAACCAGTGCCCATATGGGATCCTGGGCGTGCAAGGCGAGGACCTTAACCACTTGCGCCACCGCGCCAGGCCCAAAACAAACATTTTCCATGTGCTGATTCATTCTCCATCTAGGCCGGGCTGAAGCCAGGAGCCAGGAATTCCATCCTGGCATCCCGTGTGGATGGGAATCCTTTGCCATGCCAGGCTCATTATACCAGGGAGCTGGATGGGAAGAGGAGCTGCCAGGACTTGCACTGGAGCTCTGCTATGGGATACTGCACCACATGCCAGCACTAGGTTATGGTTCTTCAAGTCTGCTTCTGTATGTACAGGTATTTGTGAATGTGTATGGAGTAACGGAAGGCTAATAATGCAGGACTGGAAACGTGGCTTAGGGTGAGTGGCGGTGTGTCCTGTGTTATACTGGTAGATCTACCACTACTGAACATGAGCCAGTCACCCTTTTCTGGGATTCGGGGCAGGGCCACACTCACACGGTGACCTAGACAAAGTATCTCCGAGGACCCTCCAAGGTTTGTGGTCTGGAACCTAGGTTCCAAATACTCTTCCGAGGAATGACTGGGTTTTCAATTTTTAGAAGTATTTCCACCAAAGAATGAATTTAAATTTTGTAACAGACGTTTTCTTCTTTATTTTCAGAGTAATACTTTAGGAGATATGAATACATATGGATGCCTGTTCCCAAAATTAATACACATTTATATCTTGTATGCATTTATTAATAACCTTAGTTAACTTTGTTCCAAAATTGGAGTGTCTACACATGGATATATATGTTAGTGAAAATCTAAGTAAATGAGAGAACGAGATGGGGATAGCATCATTACAGCCTGGTGTTTGGGGCTCAACTCTAGGGTTGAGAGCTATTGGTCCTCTTACCTGTCAACCTAACCTGTTAGGGTTCAGCTTGGCTATGAGAGTTCAACCCTTATCTGAAACCATAGGGAAAGGACAACAATTTGTCAACCATAACTAGAAAACATCAATAATGAATCACAACAATAACGCTAGTTTCATTTAGTGGATAACCTTTTTAAAAGATTCATTTATTTTTATTGGAAAGTCAGATACACAGAGAGGAAGAGAGACAGAGAGGAAGATCTGTCCATTGAAGCACTCCTCAAGTGACTGCAATGGCCAGAGCTGAGTTGATCCAAAGCCAGGAACCCGGAGCCAGGAGCCTCTTTTAGGTCTCCCACATAGTGCAGGGTGCCAAAGCTTTGGGCCGTCCTCGACTGCTTTCCCGGGCCACAGGCAGGGAGCTGGATGGGAAAGCAGGGTCACTGGGATTAGAACTGGCAGCCATTTGGGATCCTGGCATGTGCAAGGCAAGGATTTTAGCTGCTAGGCTACCGGGCCAGGCCCTACTGTATAACTTTGATGTCTGCTGGGCAATGAACATTGTTGTTGAGAAAAAAACTAACAGAAGCAAACTGGTGTAAGTACTCAAGGGTAAGATTTTGTGACAAGGACCTTTAGTTCATAGTGTTCGTGTGAGTTTTTGAGAGGTCTGACTTCTTGATTGACTCAGTGTTACTTTTACTTTTTATTTGAGGTGGTACCAACATGAATGATTCTCCCAAGATAAATAAATAAAATGACACCAGCAATTTCTTTTTTTTTATGATTTATTTCTTTTTATTGGAAAATCAGCTAAACAGAGAAAAGGAGACACAAAGAGAAAAGATCTTTCATCCTCTGATTCATTCCTCAAGTGGCCACAACAGATGGAGTTAAGCCAATCCGAAGCCAGGAGCTTCTTCTAGGTCTCCCATAAGAGTGCAGGGTCCCAAGGCCTTGGGCCCATCCTCTACTGCCTTCCCAAAGCACAAGCAGGGAGCTGGAAGGGACGTGGTGCAGCTGAGACACGAACTGGCACCCATATGGGATCCCAGCACATGCAAGGTGAGGATTTAGCCACTAGGCTATTGCAACAGGCCTGATGTCAGCACTTTCTATTCTGAAATGTTTCGAGTTGGCAGGGATACAGTAATGTGTTGCTGTGACCCCCACCCTCTCTTTAGAGACCTGAGCTGAACTCTTAACCTCTTGTGCTTTCTGCCCTTTCCTTACCCCAAGTGGTGGACAAGAAATATCCTTGGCATTGAACGAATAGTCATTAAAGTGCTGCAGCAAGTAGTAAAGAAACACACACACACACAGCCGGACAAAGCCACCTGGCCAAGTGATGACAGCTCTGTCTCTGAAGTTTCTGTGAAATCTGATGACCACCAACATCAAAGAGAGTTTAACAACTCTTTTAGAGCACTGACATTCTGATTAGCACTTGGAACATCCAGATGTGACCCTGGGGCTCACATACATTCATTTGTAGATATTTTGGAGCTAGAAGTCGGATAGATCTGACTTGGCAAAAAAAAAAAAAGATAACTTATTTCCCTCAAAAGGTTATTTGAGAATGCAGAGTCAATATTTGGTGATTTAATGTGATTCTTAACTTTAGTGGTTGCAAAATGCATGCCTGCTTAATTTGACTTTTATGTTGTTCAAAGACTTCTCAGTATACAGCTACAGTTGGAGTATTAGACCAGCTGGTTCTCAGCCCAGGGCTCAGAAAAATTATTGATGCCCATACTTTTGCCTTTGCTTCCTACTAAGTCAATATCCTCTTTAGAGACGGAGAAATCCTTGCGGTTCTGTCACACGGAAGGGATGCAAGCTCTCAGTGTTGAACATTCTACCCTTGTTTTGGGATGTTCCTCTGTGAGGCCATTTTGTCAATCACCTCATCTACTTTGCCAGACACCAGCCTGTCACCACCACCTTTGCCAAAAGGCCTGCCAAGTCTTGTGATTGTTGGGAATGGTCCAGAAAGGGTCTTCAAAAACATTGGATTTTTCTGTCTCTTGTTCATGAACCAGGAAGAATCTGGCAAGAGCCGCCTCCTGGTACTAAATGAAAAGGGAAGGAAGGAAGGTGGCACCATGGGAACCTCCCACAAAGAAGCCAACCCTCTCATCCTCTTTTCAAGATCAACAGTCCTGCGTGAGTCCACAGCAAGCAGGCAGGCAACAAAAACAAGATCGGGACAGGAGTAGGGGGAATGCACCAAAATTGACAGCTTTTTTTCACACTGTTGATTTCTGCTAAGGAATTTTCAGACTGAAAGAGATTCCGGGAATCATAGAACCCAGTGACTTTGCTTTAAACATGAAGAGAGC